GTACTGACTTCCGAAGCTGCACAAAACTCCATACAAATATAGATTTATTTCGTCTTCAAGCCATTGTTCCACTACTAAACTATCTATTCTACTTACTAGTACACTTGGTACAATCAAAAACCTGGTATAATAAATTGTTCAAATAAGGCCTTTGAAGATAGTGGAATTAATTACTTTTGGATTGTCAAAATTTCGTTGGAAGTACTTGATAAATTGCATGCTTATATTGGTGACTTCGAATCTGTTCAAAGTTTTGATTTTTCTACACTATATACCACGTTGTCTCATAATCTTATTAAGAAAAAATTCACACACCTTATTAAATGGGCATTTAAAAAGTCGGAATGCGAATATATATGTTCAAACTCTTTTAGGTCATTTTTTAGTAACAACAAACAAAAGAACTATGTCAATTGGACCTGCTTTGATACTATAACTGCCCTTGAATATTTACTAGATAACATTTTTGTTCGCTATGGAGATTCTGTATATCGTCAGGTTAGCGGAATTCCCATGGGGACTAACTGTGCACCACTTATTGCGGACCTGTTTCTGTATTGTTATGTGTTACAATTTATGACTAAAATCAGTAAAGACCCATCGAAACAACATCTGATTCAAAAATTTAATAACACTTTTATATATTAAGATGATATATTGGCTCTCAATAATGACGACTTCAGTATGTCGTTAAAGAGATTATCCTGCCGAACTGACTTTAAATAAAGCTAATACTAACAATGAACACTGCCCTTTCCTGGATTTTGATATCTTTATCTTTAACGGGAAGCTTAATACCAAAATTTATGATAAAAGAGATGATTTTTCATTTCCTAATGTTAATTATCCATTTTTAGATCGTGACGTTCCCTTGTCGCCATGTTATTGTGTTTATATATCTCAACTTGTTCGATTCGCTCGTGTATGTAACAACGTTTTTGATTTCAACGAAAGAAATCTCTGTATTACTGAAAAATTATTACACCAGGGTTTTCGATATCACAAACTAGTCAAAACATTTATTAAATTTTATCATCGGTACAAGAACATCATTCGTAAATATAAATCAACATGCAGACATCTTATACGTTCAGGTATTTCACATCCAATATTTTATGGTTATATTCTTTACAAAGCACATGAATGTCGGCATTCAACTCAAAAGCTAACCAAACCTTTAAACAGAATGATTCGGAAAGGATATAGTTACGATACTGTTGTCAAGTCATTAAGGATTGCATATTTTGGTATTAATATTGATTCACTCATAGGGTCTTTGCATCGGAAATAAACACATTTATTCTAAAACCAGTTGTTGGCATGATACGGGTTATGTTCTTCTCATATATTTTATGATGGTATGATACTAAACCCCTAACGGGAGGGATTGTACTTGATTTTCATATGATGAAGACATAATCTTTCAATCAGTTTAATTGAGGTCTGGGGCTGGCATGTCAGTAACTGCCAGTAGTTCTTTGTTCATTTATGTATCATTGTCATTTTGCTTAGTTTCTTTTGGTACCTATTCTGACATCGGACTCGGACTTCTTTTGAACTGAATTTTTACTGTGCGTATTGCTATGTGTTTCTTTATTCTACATTGGCTAGAGGTATAGGGGGAGGGTTGAGATCTCACAAAACATGTTTAACCCCGCCGCATTTTTGCGCCTGTCCCAAGTCAGGAGCCTCTGGCCTTTGTTAGTCTTGTATGTTTTTTAATTTTAGTTCATTTATATGTTTTTGAGTTTAGTGTGACGTCCATTTTCACTGAACTAGTACACAATTTTATTTAAGGGCCAGCTTAGGACCACCTCCGGGTGCGGGATTTTCTCGCTGCGTTGAAGACCCATTGGTGGCCTTCGGCTCTTGTCTGCTCTTTGGTCGGGTTGTTGTCTCTTTGACATATTCTCCATTTCCCTTCTCAATTTTTTCGTACGTAAAAAGCGCAAATGTCTAGTCAATTTAGTTCAGGTGAATGAAAGCGTCAAAAATTGAAAACAACACTTTAAACAATTCTTCCGCCCGAAGCGCTTTTCTGGCTTTACCTTCACCAGGAACGCCCAAAGCCGAATATTAGAAAGTCAAGGATTAAAAATAACCGAAACAATTGAAGAGCTATATGACAAATAAAATTGAGAATGGAAATGGGGAATGTGTCAAAGAGACAACAACCCGACCATAGAGCAGACAACAGCCGAAGGCCACCAATGGGTCTTCAATGCAGCGAGAAACTCCCGCACCCGGAGGCGTCCTTCAGCTGGCCCGTAAACAAATATGTATACTAGTTCAGTGATAATGGACGTCATACTAAACTCCAAATTATACACAAGAAACTAAAATTAAAAATGATACAAGACTAACAAAGGCCAGAGGCTCCTGACTTGGGACAGGCGCAAAAATGCGGCGGGGTTAAACATGTTTTATGAGATCTCAACCCTCCCCCTATACCTCTATCCAATGTAGAAAAAACAAACGTACAACAGTACGCACAGTAAAACTCAGTTTAAGAGAAGTCCGAGTCCGATGTTAGAATAGGAAACAAAAGAAAATAAACAAAATGACAATAATACATAAATAACAACAGACTACTAGCAGTTACTGACATGCCAGCTCCAGACCTCAATTAAACTGATTGAAAGATTATGTCTTCATCATATGAATATCAGGTACAATCCCTCCTGTTAGTGGTTTAGTATTATACCATCATAAAATATATGAGAAGAACATAACCCGTGTCATGCCAACAACTGGTTTTAGAATAAATATGTTTCATTCCGATGCAAAGACCCTATAAGTGAATCAATATTAAAGCCAAAATATGCAATCTTTAATGACCTGACAACAGTATCGTAACTATATCCCTTCTTAATAAGTCTGTTTAAAGGTTTTGTTAGCTTATGAGGTGAATACTGACATTTTTGTGCTTTGTAAAGAATATTACCATAAAATATTGGATGTGAAATACCCGAACGTATAAGATGTCTGCATGTTGAGTTATATTTACGAATGATGTCCTTATACCGATGATAAAATTTAGTAAATGTTTTGACTAGTTTATGATATCGAAAACCCTGGTGTAATAATTTTTCAGTAATACATAAATTTCTCTCGCTAAAATCTGATACGTTGTTACATACACGAGCGAATCGTACAAGTTGAGATATATAAACACCATAAGATGGTGACAAGGGAACGTCACCATCTAAAAATGGATAATTAACGATAGGAAATGAAAAATCATCTCTTTTATCATAATTTTTTGTATTAAGCTTCCCGTTAATGATATAGATATCAAGATCGAGGAAAGGACAGTGGTCATTGTTAGTATTAGCTTTATTTAAAGTAAGTTCAACAGGATAAATTTCTTTAGTATACATACTGAAGTCGTCATTATTGAGAGCCAATATATCATCCAAATATCTAAAAGTATTGTTAAATTTTTGTATCAGATGTTGTTTCGATGGGTCTTTGCTGATTTTAGTCATACATTGTAACTCATAACAATACAAAAACAGGTCCGCAATAAGTGGTGCACAGTTAGTCCCCATTTGAATTCCGATAACTTGACGATATACGGAATCTCCAAAGCTAACAAAAATGTTATCAAGTAAAAATTCAAGGGTAGATATAGTATCAAAGCATGTCCAATTGACATAGCTCTTTTGTTTGTTGCTACTAAAAAATGACCTAAAAGAGTTTGAACATATGTATTCGCATTCCGACTTTTTAAATGCCCATTTAATTAGGTGTGTGAATTTTTTCTTAATAAGAATATGAGGCAAAGTGGTATATAGGGTAGAAAAATCTAAACTTTGAACAGATTCAAAATCACCAATATATGCATGCAATTTATCAAGTACTTCCAACGAGTTTTTGACACTCCAAAAGTAGTTAATTCCACTATTTTTAAAAACATGTTCCTGAAATAAAAAGCCTAACCCATCAAAGGTCAACTTAGACCTGAGAGAATTGAAATCTTAGATTCTTTCAAAATTTATCAACGGACAATTTTAGAAAGGTTTGTTTTAAATCATGTCAGCATCGAAGTGCTGACTTCTGAGCTCGTGATACCCTCGGGGACTAATGGTCCACCAGCAGCGGTATCGACTCGGTGCTGTCAAGCGCGAATGTCCACAGTGTTTTGGAACGTAAATGTCCTTTCGTGTGAAAGGTGAAAACGCGCAAAAGTTCTGCGTCCTATTTTCGATAGCCCATTTAAGCGAACAATCACAATCGTGGAAATGTTTGTATAAAAATCAGATGTGGTATTATTGCTTTGTTAGTTGTTAGGTTGCTCTTTTGTCATATGACCTGCGTCGGATAGAAATCGACCTTATGCAAATAAGTATCAATACATCTGTTAACCTATTTCGGATTACTGTGGTTTCATTATTATTCGTTGGATACCAATTTTCGTGGGTTTCGTGGGTACAGGTGAACCACGAATTCAAATGTTCAACGAATTACAAATTTTCTTTTGGCTTTGTATGCAGAAATTGGTAAAACCACGAAATCAAATATCCACGAAAATGCAAGTTTTTCTCAATCCACGAAAATTGATACCCACGAAAATAAATGAATCCACAGTATACGGAAAGTCTGTAACTTTTTTAAAATGAAGCTGTTATTAGAACCCTACAAAACAGACCAAAATTCATCTTTTATTTCGTATTTGAATGTTCTCAAATCAATAAAAGTCTAATACATGTACATGTATGTCATGTATACGTGCACTTGCATAAAGTCGATTTCTATCCCACGCAGCTGAAATACCTAATTAAAGGTGGGTCAAGATTCGAAAATTGTTTTGCTATTAAGTAACATTCCAGCACCGCTTTCATGTGTCCAGATGCAAAGTCTTCTGTTTTCTTAATACATTTGTTACTAACAAGATAATGACTAATACGAATGTCTCGCTTAGAAAGTTTCATGGTTGCCATCATGACCTAGTTGACGTTTTTGAATGCTCCTTAAAAAATTCATTCATGACTAATAAATTATGTAAACTAATGATATATTTTGTATGCATGATATATATGATACATCGCAACACAATAAATACTCCTAAGAATCATTACCGACACTAAAAAAACACAATTAGCCAAAGCTTTGCGAGCTCTGCGTTAAAAACACTTTACTCTCTGTTAAATATCACATGGAGTGTTCTGCATACCCCCTTGTCCTTTTATAAAAACTTTTAAAAGGCAAATATGGTTCAAAATGAACTTCGGATACTGTCCCGCGTGACATAATATCCAACAAAAACTTCACAATAGCGTAAGGAATTCCGCTTTTTACCACGCTGACTGGAAACTCAATTGCATTTTCCTTAGATTCACATAAAAATGTTAAGAAGTGGTTCGTAACTGGTAGGCCATCACAAGTAAGAGACAGAATACCACCAGATACTTGAATGCGAATTCTCTGTAACGGATTTAAACATAAGGCGTCAGTTATATAGATACATCTGAAACCTCTTCTTAAAATTGAATTTTCAATGGTGTCATCAACTTCTGCTTGAATCACACAAAGCGCAAATAATTGACCAAGGTCACTTGAACCTTCATTCGTAGTTTTTGCAAACAATATTATTTTGCAAAGTATGCGACTTCCATAAAAGATGTCAAGTTCCGTCTTTAAAATATTAGTATCCAAAGTTGTACCTACTTGTACAACAGCTAATGCAGCCCTGAAAGAAACATTAGAAATATTGTGTGATATAATACGGTAAAAATGTCCTTTACTAAAGTATATATTTTCATTCTATATTTTGGCATTTGTAACAAAATAGTACAATGTAGTATATATGATAAGATTCTATAAACCAAAGGTCATGTAAATATTGTAACAATTCAACCAAAAAGATATAATTTTCAAGGAGTAATTCATTATCATTGAATGGAAAAAAAAGAAACGGAAACATTCAGGTTAAAGTAAGAGCAGTTGTCAAATCATTTGATACACGACTTTGATAATCATTAAAACACTGTTAGTTCAAAATGAAATGAATAAGATTAAAGCTTTGTATACGGGTAACACAATAAAGGTAGGACGGGAGTTTTGCCTAATGTCTTCAATTTTTTCTGATTAAGGTAAATCCAGAAAAGCAATCGCCGTTTCACTGTAAGAAGAAGAAACTAATTACGGTTGACCTACTTTGATTCTGACAACAAATGTAGACGTGTCATACACCATTCTTCAGATAATTTAATGCAGATTTACAACATAACACGTTTCAGTGGGCCGGGGTAGACCACCGCGAAATCGGAATATAACAAAAGTTTGCGACCGAGTGTTATTTCTAAAAAAATCGAGATTGGAACCATGTGTTATCTAAAGGTAAGGACGTATTTTGGGTTTTTTTTAGGGACAAGTGTCTGTGACATATACATATAAACCTACTGATTTTTTTTAAATTTTTGTACGTAAATTAGGCCGTTAGTTTTCTCGTTTGAACTGTTTTACATTGTCATTTCGGGGCCTTTTATAGCTAACTGTGCGGTATGGGCTTTGCTAATTGTTGAAGGCCGTACGATGACCTATAGTTGTTAATTTCTGTGTCATTTGGTCTCTTGTGGAGAGTTGTCTCATTGGCAATCATACCACATCTTCTTTTTTATATGTATACAATTACTTCAGGAACGATCTAAATGATTTATATGTTATTATTTCGCGTCGATTCACAACAAGATTTGCGCAGGAAATATACCTTTTTCAAAACACATTTGCAGTGCACACGGTTTATGGTTTATTTTGTAATCATCAAGAAAAATATTAAGTGGATATTTTTATAAAAGTTGTTTTGACTATAGGAACATTGTAACAGTTTAATAATCTATCACAAATAAATAACTTACCCATCACAACCTTTAACCTCATACAATATCTCATCGTTAACCTTTTTTGAAACCATTCTAATAATAAACGGACGATGATCTCTGAAGCCAATCAGTCGACGCTCCACACCTGGTGTTCTCAAATTTTCAGGTAAGGGGAAAGATAGGTATATAGGTGTTTTCAAAGAATTCCTGGTAAATTTCATGCATATTTTGTCGCTGACTGCTATCAACAATTTTGGTTTCCACTCAGGTAGAGATTTATTCACACTAGTAATTGCTGGTCGGAATATCTGAAAAAAATATTAAGTGTAACTTCCCAAAGTATGCCAATATTACCATTATCATTGGTTGAGTTAAAACTAACTATAGCTGGAGAAAGGTTTATCAAACTATTTCGGGATGAACTTAAGTGTTGTAGATGTTATTTAGATTTTCTAAATGAAATATATTTATTTTACGTTTTATTTCACAGTCTATATATTTGTACGTATGCCAAAATATTGTTTTTTTTAAAGGGTCTATTACCTGCTAACCATTTTGGGAGGAATTACTTGTTAAATTTACAGAGCTTTGCTGCACACTGTCGGTCAAGTTGAAACTATTATGAGATTGAGAAAGATATATATTAAATCAATATCACTATTCAAAAAAATTTTAGCTTTAAAAATGTAACGTTCATTTAAGTCTGAAACGTCATTTTGCTGGTTCGTTCTTTTTGTGTACAGTGTGGTACCCAAAACAGAAAACCAGCAAAATTATCAATTAACATCAATGATGGGAAATCAAATACTTTTGATATAATATGAGTAAGTAAAGGTGGATAAGTTTATTATTATAAATTATAGGAAAATCTTTAATTGTAAAAATTTTGCTTGCTTTTTACAAACAAAAAAACAATGGTGTTAGTTATGTTTCTGATTATACGTCAGAAAAACTCATAAGATATAACATTGCAATTGCCTTCATTTATGAACTCTAACCGAGCTGTTTAAAGTAAAACCACTCAGGTGAGAAAAACAGCTCACCTGTGTACTATATAAACATGCGTGTCACTTAATGCTTCAAATTTAGCTCGCAGTCGAGATGTTCGGTAAGATTTAATGTTGAAAAAAATAATATGGCTCAAACTCAATTAAACTCGCCCAGTTCTAGAGGGAAACATACTCCTTCCCGAGATTTGTTGGAAGATTAAGACTACTTGTCTGATGTTCAATCTCAAGATGAAATTGAACTGTTTGACGATGGTCATTTGAGTGACCTAAGTGACATTGAACATACCAATGAAGGTGATGTTTCTAGTGCCGATAAGGGCAATACTTATATGGGCAATTCAAGTGCCACAAAAGACAAACACAATGCCAATAAGGGCAAACAAAGTGTCAATAAGGGCAAAACTCATGCACAATCAGACGATGGGGCGTCTGGTTTAGATTGTGAAAGTGACGAGAGAGCCACACGTAACTGGTTGCCGGATAAAAGAAATCCAGTAGAATCATCTTCTTCCGGTAAACGAAAACATGTGGAGGATTCTGGTGATGAATCGGAACAGGAGACCGAGATTTCCTCCTCGGATAGTGGGGAAAGTTCAGATAATGACAATCTGTTTGATCCGTCTGAAATTTTGAAGAAAGGTATCGAGGTACCGGGTAAAATTTCAAAACACATTGAGAAATATGCCAATCAAGGCATCACTAAGAACGTAAGGTTAGAAGTCACAAAGAACTGTAACATTCCTATAAGTAAAAAGCTCGCTTCTAAAGAAACGGATAGATATAAAGAAACTGTTTCGTAAAAAGTTTAATCAACCACTTAATGCCAAGAAAGAACGTTCTATGATTAACTCTGAAAACAGAATATTAGATGCTACTGGTCCCTTAGCAATTTTATGGACAGAAGCAGAGAAAGCTAAGAGACGTGATCGTGGTTTAAATCCAGTAGATGTCATCGACATTGTACAGAGAGCATTAGTCCTGATTGGAAACGCTCACTATGTATACTTATCTGATCGTCGTAGTTCTATGCTTGGTAGAGTATTACCAGAATGTTTAGATTTATTAGCGGATAAAGATGGCAAGAAAGCTCTGTTAAAAAGTTCTCAGGAACGTAAGTTCAGGAAATTGCTCATTGAAGAAAGCAAGGACAACAGGGAATTGTTTAGCTTACTTCAAACTGTACGCCGTTCCAAAAATAAACTATCTAGATTTGGTAATGGTAACTTCAGTGGTGGTCATGGAAATGGTGGCCGAGGCAATAACCAGTATTTTCGGCTCGAGCCCCCAAACAACCAGAACCAGCAGTTTGGGGGCCGATGCAGGGGCAGAGGCAGAGGTCAGTCAAGATCGACACCAGGGATCCCAAGGAAGGGGTTCAATCCCAAGAATTAAGCATACAACAGGTAAAGGTTCAAGAATTAAGTTTTTTCCCCGTTACATTAGACCGTTTTGCTCACTTACCTGTAGGGGGGAGAACAAAACGGTTTGTCCAGAACTGGGGTTGTTTGACATCAGATCCTTGGGTCTTAGATACAGTTCAGGGTCTTAAACTAGAATTCTGTCAAATACCGCCAAGACAAATTCAGTGCCCCAAACTATTTTTCGACAAAGAGAAAACAGCATTGATCAATCAAGAAATTCTATCATTGTTAGACAAAAAAGCAATATGTCAGATATCCCAAAGTCAGGAGTATTATCTAAGTCACCTTTTCTTGGTCAAGAAATAAAAGGGGAGGACACCGTCCTGTAATAAATCTAAAGCAGTTGAACAATTATTTGATGGATACACCAGTTAATTCATTGGAATGGAAGGTCTCTAATTTCCATCCAACCATCTGTAATCATCCAAACAGATGCAAGCAATGTGGGATGGGGAGCAGTAATGAACAAAGTGTCCATAGGGGGTCCTTGGTTACAATCAGAAAAAAGTTTCCATATAAACGCCCTGGAATTAATAGCAGTGACTCATGCAGTCAAATCTTTCTTAAAAGACAGACACAATTTACAGGTGTTGATTCAGACAGACAACATAACAACAATGACTTATATCAACAAAATGGGAGGGACTGTGTCCAAAGTTTGCAACAAACTAGCCCTAGAGCTTTTGACATGGTGTCTGAAAGCAGATTTCATCCCAGGTCGAGAAAATCTGATTGCAGATTGGGAGTCCAGATATCATTTAGACTCCAGAAATTGGAAACTTCATTCAAAGGTTTTCAATTCTTTAATGAGGCAGACAATGATCTGCAACATAGATCTTTTCGCAGATCGGTCCAACAATCAACTTCAAACATACATAAGCTGGCTTCCCGATCCAGGAGCATCCTTGGGCAAGTTTCAAGGCTTATGTCTTCCCCCTTTTCTGCTTGATAGCTCAATGTCTGAAAAAAAAATCAAAGCAGAGAAAACAACTGTAGTTCTGGTAACTCCTGCTTGGATGGCACAGCCATGGTACGCAATATGCTGGAAATGTCAATACAACATCCAATTCTGTTGCCAACATTTCCACATCTGCTACAGTCACATCAAGGGGAACCTCACCCAATGATTCAAAACAAATTGCTTCAACTAGTCGGGTGGCTTGTCTCAGGAGATCATATCAAACAATGTCAATATCAGAGGAAGTTAAAAAAATTTTGCTCAGCTCCTGGGGGAAAGGAACTCAGAAATCTTACGATTTGGCCTGGAATAAGTGGGTTAGCTGGTGTGTGGAACGGGAAGTTGATCCCTTTTCAGCACCTCTAACCGCTGTTCTAGATTTTTTGGCATGGATGTTCCAAAAGGATTTTCAATACAGAACAGTTAATGTCCATAGGTCTGCATTATCCTCTATTCTTCCTCATATTGATGTTCAACCAGTGGGACAGACACTATTAGATAAAAAATTAATAAAGGGCATTTGGAGGGAAAATCCACCTTTACCTAAGTATCAGGAAATGTGGGACATTAATATTGTTCTGAAAATTCTCATTTCTCAGTCTGTTAACCCTGATTTGGATCTTAAAACATTAACCAAGAATTTAGCAATTCTTTTAGCAATAGCTGCTCCGAAAAGATCTTCTGAAATTGCTAGACTTGATATAAGATTTATGCAAATAAACAATGAAGGGGCTAAGTTTCAGCTCCCATGTATATCAAAAACTCAATCTGATTGTAAATCAAAAGAAATATTTTATCCAAAATTTGAGGACAACCTTAAATTATGTGTGGTTGATTGGTTACAAGCTTATTTAAATTGTTCTGTAGATTTTCGAGTGAAGGATAAGTCTACGCAAAATCCATTACTTAGAACTTTAGTTAAACCACACAGAGGTGCCTCGTCTAATACAATAGCTAATTGGATAAAGGATATTATGAAGTTAGCTGGTATTGATACAACTAAGTTTAAGGCTCATTCAACTAGAGGGTCCTCAACTAGTAAGGCTAAATGTCATGGAGTTTCTATATCAGAGATTTTGAAAATAGCTGATTGGTCAAATGCTTTAACTTTTAAAAAATTCTATTTCAGACCATTGCTGGAGGATAGTACTAGTGATCAGTTTTCAAAGAAAGTATTAAGTTTACCTTCAGGTATGTTAGTAATTATGATTAACGCTTTGAACGTGCAATGTTATATCTTATGAGTTTTTCTGACGTATAATTGTAGATTTCATGAGGACGCGTATTATTAAAAAGATGGTGAATTAGGGCGGGTGCCAAACGTTTCCGAGCAATAACTTTTGAACAGTTCAATAAATATATGATTCTCAAATTTTAATATAAAAATGCAATATCTATAGAACTGTGTAGCCAATGCTTTTCAAATTTGAACATGTGGTTATTGATGACAAAAAGGAGGTCAAGTTTAATATTAACTATTTTCACATTCAGCGTACATATTTGAGAATAGGCACAACCCGTGCCACATAAAACAAAGCGCTAGACTTAGAATCGTCAAATGTTATTCGTACTAGCTGCCCACTTAGTCTCAACAATAATTACCTTCAAAATACAGAAAACCAGGTTTGCGGTAACTTTGACAGCTCATTTATTGTCTAGGATGTTTTCTGCTTATTTAAATACAGGAAATGTTGTAAGATTGCCGACTTTCCAATTAAGTCAAGTGAAGCGGATTTAAGCAACCATGGGTAACACGCACGAACAATAATTGCAATTTTCATAATTAACTTATAAAATTAAAATTTAGAAAAGAATTACCTGATATGTTATGTCCCTGTTTTGTTCAACGCAGGTTGGCGGGAACTGCATAATCATTTTACCATCCGTTCCTGTTTTTATAGTCAACCCACATGGCTGTATATTCTGAGATACTTGTTTCGGCTCCGATCGAATGCAGAAACTGCTCATTTGGTAGCATGGAAATATGAAAAACTTATCCTGCAATGATTTATGCTGATAGTAAATTTCCTTTTTTTTAAAAGACATAACTATAATTGTTCATATTAAAGCAATTAGTATTAACCATTATAGAAAAGGTTTCCTTCGTAATGTTCGAAACTTCGTCATCCTTAAGCCGAAAAAACGGCAGCAAAACAAGGTAGATCGACAGAGTAACAGTTTCTTGTTATGCATGCATCACCCATTACGCGATTTCAAATTCATAAACTACCTTAACCCAAAACTCTAAGCTGATACGGAACGGACGAACTGACGCACAGACGGTAAAATATAACGTCCCCTTCTATCGTAAGTTTGGCATCAGACTAGTTCAACCAAACAACATGCCCTTTTGCCTGACTTATGTTAGTTGTTGTCATTAGTAATGAACTGCATGCACTAACTCATCTGAACAAAATTACAGAATTTAATAAAGAGAAAGGCTATGTTGTATCAGTGCAAAAATTACAATGCGCTTATAAAAACACCTTAAAGGAAAGGAATAGCCCTTTTATTGCTGATCTTTATCTATAGATAAAATGAGGCTTTCAACATGTAGCAAAAACTTTCACCTCACTGCAAGTTCAAGACGGCTCCTAGCGCCGGATTGAGCATAATCATTTGTTAAATATCGATCCAGCTACAGCTGCGGTGTAAAATCGACAAACTTAAATTATATCTGGCAAATGTCTTACACATAATTTGATAAATTTCCCGACAATTGTACTGTAAAATACAGAAGCAATACAAATATTTTGACAACAACGGGATATATCAAGATATATAGCAGGTTTTACGTATAATCTCAAATTTGCGCTAAATCCTTCATTATGGAGCAAAAACTCTCGTATCACTGAAATTTTAAGACAGTTCCTGGAACCGGTTTTAGCGGAATTCTTTGATAGGTATGGATCATCTCTGTATTGAGGAAGACAGTGCTTGGTAATATCAATAAAACTATATTTACTAATGAAATTTAACAAATAGTGTCATAAATTGTTCGTCATTCTCCCTGTTCAATACAGATACAATACAAAACTAACAGTATATATCAAAAGGTGTGTTATTTCCAGAATGTTATGCTAATAGCAAATCTTTAATTGTCTCGACTTAATTAATTCAGAACTCGTCTACACCCAGGGCAATTTAGAGCTTACAACGTTTTCTAGTCTTTTTGCAATAGTTTAGAGACACTTGTCTATTGTTGAAGACAGTATGTTTACTATTCCCAGGTTCCTTTGGGCTACTGCGTAATTGGTCTTTACTCCACATCTATAATGCCTTTCAATTTGTCCAGTTAAAACAGAGAGAGAGAGAGAGAGAGAGAGAGAGAGAGAGAGAGAGAGAGAGAGAGATTTCAATGAGACGGCAACCAACGATTCAAATAAAAAAAAAATTCTACGACTTTAGCATACGACATATGCGTGTATGGCAATTTCAATCTCGTCCCGAGTCATGCAAGTTGTGAATAAATTTAAGATTTCTGAAATACACAAAAAAATGATATACAAATATTTTTTTTTTTCAAGTACAACAGACCACACCAACCACAAACATCTGACTCTTCCGAAAAATAAACAATTAAACAACAATGTGCAACAACTGATTAAGATGTCCTGACATGGTACGGACATATAAAATGTGGTGGGGTTCTTCTAGTTTTGCGTGCACACAAACCTCTCTCTGATATGAGACTACCAAACAGACTTTTGTGGTACCAATAATAAATTTAAGGTATTTAATTTACTGTGTCTAACGAATGTCAATTTTCAATAATTCATCAGAAATACCTCCAATTTTGCTTCAGCTTCTTTCCAACTGCATTCATTGCCAACTCCCACACTAAAAGCTACAACAAACTTAGTATCTGTTGACAAATCGGTAGACATATTATTCCCATCGACGGGAACTTTAAAAATACTATTGTTACTCATGGCTTGACTGAAGGGAAACTTGTATAACGTCTTGTTTTCTCGTCCTTCTCTGTTTTCCCTTGATATTATTTTGAAGATATCAGAAGAAAACTTCTTATCATCATTAAATTTGTTCGTATATAGATTCATATTTCTATCCCTCATTTCCCACTTGATTGTTGTAAAACGCCTTAAATCGTTACTATATCGAAATGGCGTCAACAATTTAATACCATTACCCATATCCAGTTCTACTCTGTCTTCGTTTCTGTCACTAAAAGGAACCACCAATTCGCTGACAGGGATCAAACTGTTTGAATCAGATGATAAATTTATGCTGCTGGCAACGGATAAATTTATTTTATTGTCCGAATCTGATTTCTTTTTGAAATCTTTCAAAAAGGTGTGTGCTTGATATTTGTCCGCTGTTCTTGAACTCAACAGACTGTTATCGATGCCATTAGGTGTCATATGTTTTGTGTTAGCATTAATGTAAGTTTCTCTGTCATGTTTACCGTCACCACTGGAGAACGACGTCAAGGTGTGTGAATTATTGTTATGTTTTTGATTTTTGTCTTTTGTTAATGTCTGTTGTTTAGGTCGGGTTTCATCATTAACAAATGATACAAAATCATGTAAATTGTCCTCATTGTCCCAAGCAAATTTCCTGTTCTTCACATAGTTATAAATCTTTGTTCTTTCCAACGGCCTGGATCCAACACTACAAGTTGAGACAAAGTCTTGCAAGTTGTCATTTTCATCAGATGTGACTGATACGCAGTCATTAAGTCCATCATCATCTGTATCTGTATTTTCAGCACGACTTCCGTCACTTGAAGCTATACTTTCATTAAGGCTTACTGGAGAGACCCTGAATAAAATATAATTTGAGTATTCTTCAAAATGGACTAAAATAACACATATCTATATTTTGGCTTCCCAAACTTCTGTTATTTTGTTTTTAAATTGTTAAAAAAAGGTTTTGAATTGTTAATAAAGACAGAAATAATGTCTGTACCAAGTCAGGAATATAACAGTTGTTTTTTTATAAGTTTACTTCGTTGGGTCACATTCGAGGAAAAGTGAACTGGATTGGTCACAACAATTTGAACATATCCGTCGTCATCAAAAATTAGTAATCAAAGCGCGAAAGCGCTGTAAAGGCAGTTAATTACAGGTTGTGAGTATTTTTAGTCCAGTTATCTTGCATAGTACAGTGTACTTATCAGATGTGGCTTTCAGTATTTAAGATTTAGAGTTCTCTAATTTTATTGAACAAGTTTAATGAATGTCATATTCTGAGCACTATATGAAGGCGATTGTTCTCACTTGTTTATGAACTAGTGCATTATGTCCAGTTTGTACCTTTTTTATCTATGTTCAGAGCTCCAGATAAGCTGCGTATTTGCGTGATCACGCAATACAAATAATTAAAAACCCAATGCAATTGCCCATTGCAGGGTTCAATAAAATGCTTTGCTGGGCGCAGCTTGATACGACCGCAGACGTCGAACCATGAACAGTTGGGGCAAGTATGGACACAACATTCAAGCTTGATACAGCTCTGAATTTGGATTGTGATTAAATATTTGACACAGCATAGGTTTCTGACTCAGAAAGAATGTGGTCTAAGAACTTTAATTTTTTTAATTTACCTATTATGGTCCAATGTCCAAAATCAAAATACATGGTTAGATTCAGCATATCAAAGAACCCCATATATTCAATTTTTGTTGAAATCAAACAAAGTTTAATTTTGGACCCTTTTGACCTCAATATGAACCAATGTGATAGCGGGCCCACAAATAAAAAATCTAAATACATGGTAAGATTCAGCATATCAAAGAACCCCATATATTCAATTTTTGTTGAAATCAAACAAAGTTTAATTTTGGACCCCAATATTGACCAACTTGAAAACTGGGCCAAAAATCTAAAATCTAAATACATGTTTAGATTCAGCATATCAAGGAACCCCAAAAATTCAATTTTTGTTAAAATCAAACAAAGTTTAATTTTGGACCCTTTGGACCTTAATGTAGACCAATTTAAAACACGGGACCCAAAATTAAAAATCTAAATACACGGTTAGATTTGGCATATCAAAGAACCCCAATAATAAAATTTTTGATGAAATCAAACAAAGTTTATTTTTGGACCCTTTTGACCTCAATATGAACCAATTTGATAGCGGGGTCCACAAATAAAAAATCTAAATACATGGTTAGATTCAGCATATTAAAGAACCCCATATATTCAATTTTTGTTGAAATCAAACAAAGTTTAATTTTGGACCCCAATTTGGACCAACTTGAAAACTGGGCCAAAAATCAAAAATCTAAATACATGTTTAGATTCAGCATATCAAAGAACCCCATATATTCAATTTTTGTTAAAATCAAACAAAGTTTAATTTTGGACCCTTTGGACCTTAATGTAGACCAACTTGAAAACTGGACCCAAAATTAAAAATCTAAATACACGGTTAGATTCGACATAACAAATAAATAAATGTGGTCAAAGATTTTACAAATCTAATGCGCCATACTGGTCTTCCTTTATAAATATGCATTTCTTTAAACATAATTTAAAAGCAGTGTAAGGGAAGTAACTAAAACGTTGTATTTGGATTACCTCCCTTACACTGGTTTAAATTATCTTAATTGTTCATTAACCATTACTTTATACATAATTTAAAAGCAGTGTAAGGGAGATAATTTCAATGATGTATTTGATTTATCTCCCTTACACTGCTTTAAATAATGTTTTATACTAAAGTATTTGTCCATTAATGAGGACAACCTTGTTTTTCCCCCTTTTTTGCCCCTAATTCTTAAACGGTTTGAGCAGTAACCCCCCAAAGCAAATCCTAACCATCCCTTTGTGGTATGGAAACTTGTAGTATAATTTCAGAGAGATCCATACACCGTTCCACAGTTATTGTCTGGAAACTAGAAAATGCTTATTTTTGGCCCCTAATTCCTTAACTGTTGGTACCATAACCCCCAAAATCAATCCCCACCTTCCTTTTGTGGTATTGAACCTTATGGTAAAATTTCATAGAGATCCATTCACTTAAACTAAAGTTAGAGTGCGAAAACTAATGCGTCTTCGGACGACGACGCCGGACGACGACGACGACGACGACGCCAACGTCATACCAATATACGACCACAAAAATTTTTTTGCGGTCGTATAAAAACCCAATTCATTCAAAGGAAAACCCAATTATATGCCAAAACCATGAGTTCTTAACGCTTTTATTCGCTATCGTTTGCGTTATTTACCCTTATCTGATTACAGTCGTCGCGTAAATCTATTTTTATAATATTTATAATTGGAAATGTCCTTTCGTTCTAAAAATAGAGCCCTGCATTAAGTAGCCGAAATGGTTCCCTGTTGGAATGTTTCGTTGCTCAAAAGGTACACGTGTTTATGAAAACATTTCGATCTTCTCGGTGTTTATCCAATTAGCGTTTGTCTTGTTGTCATATTTTTTTCGAATTGCTCGGGATTTATCATAACATACAATGAATTAAAACGAAAGTAAATATCTGATAAAAATATTGAATAGAAGCATGTTTTCAGCTTCTTTTTGATACTTTAGGGAAAGTTATTATGATGATAACAAGACCTGTTTGCGTACCTTAACGAGAACATTGCTAGAACGATAAACATGGGGTTTTGTCAAGAACGAAATCAGTTGGAAAAAGTGAAAGGCCAAATCAATTATGACATGATATATGTAGTTGGAAAGCATCAGAAACCAAAAGTTCTAATCAGCTGGGACAACTTAACCCAGATTTATGTAAATTAAATTAAACAAAAACATTCAAGTATAATTTTAGTTTATATATTATTTTTTTCATTTTAGTTGATGAGTGAATACATATATCCGTTTTTTACGTCAATGCATCTTGACACTTTCTTTGTTTTGGTCTTATTGTTCTGTATGCTTATGATAGTTGTCTTATTGGCAAGTGCAGTTTAACATTGTCATTTATTTATTTGATGTTGCAGAATTATTTGTAAATTTAACTCTGTAAATTTAAGTTGAATGTGGTCTCCGTCATTAAACCTATAAACCTGGTCAAGGTTTTGGGGTATATCTTAAATCTGGGAACTACTTATTATTTTTAATAAAAAGGAGATCTGGCAAATAGATGAAAGGACTGGCAAAACTTTCTTACAGCACCCAAATTTCACATATATTACACAAAAATCTAAACACTTAGCCACGCCTACCCCAACTAAACTGTAGGGTGATCATATGGGATCTAGAAAGGTAATTAGTAACTGTCCAACTAGTGACACCAGCTGCAGTTTATATAAGTTGTGAGAAAATACAAAACTGGCAGAACGTTTAAAATCGGACACAAATTAAACGTACAATTGCTCGTCAGTGAATAAACCAAATAAAACAGCTAGCATATATACAAAGAAAGAAACACATTTAGGATGGAAAAACATCTGCATGGGGTTGATATAATGTGATTATAACATGCCTAAACATTCAATATTGTGTTGATAAAAAAACCCAATACATTAAGGAGCTTGGTGGTGAAAAACCCAATTTGATATTTGCTTGAGGGGTGAATTGGAATTGATAATGCAATTTAAAAACTTTATCACCCAATTACATAAAAAAATGCTGGGTAAAAACCCCAATTTGTGAATTCTTATCTGGAGCTCTGTATGTTTATAGTCAAATACTGTTTAAAATAGTTAGGCATTTTCTTTTTTAGTAATAAGTAAATGTTATCAACTGTATTTTATTCAACTTTGCAAATGTGGTTTGTTACTGGTAAGTATGGATGATAGTTGTTTCATTGGCAATCATAACACATCTCCTTATTTATATAATGATCTATATTCAACGACCTCAGGTACAAAAACTAGAGGCTCTCAAGAGCCTGTGTCGCTCACCTGTATTTACTGATGCTTTAGAAATTGTGTAAAAGTGATGAGAAAAGCTCACTTTGCCCTACGGGCCAGGTGAGCTAAAAATGTATGAAACTAAACTATGATGGGAAACCTTTGACTTTTTTCTTTTATATAAACTTTTGATTTGGTACCATAGAACTATGTAGAATAAATGTACATTGCAACATGTCAACTCTTTCAATGACAATACTTTTTTTAGAAACTATAACTCCAAGCAAAATTATATTTCCAAGTATAAAGTAATTTATGAATGAAAAAAGGAGTTCTTAATTAAGAAATAAACTGATTCGCTGAGCGCAGCTGGATACACCCGCAGAGGTCCAACCCTGAACAGTTGGGGCAAAAATGGACACAATATTCAAGCTTGATACAGGTCTGAATTTGGATTGTAATTAAATATTTGACATATTGTAGTTTCTGAATAAATGTAGTCAAAGAACTTGAAATCGGTTATATGAATTGAATTTATATTCAATTAAAGATTTCTTGCTGTTGTGCAATACACTGTGCTGTTGCGCAATACTTAATAAATCTGTTGCCAGACTATAAACAAATAAAGTTCAATTTCTTCTCAATGTCATATTTGAAATTTATGAAAATCAATAGGAAGATTACATCAATAGCTATAAATAATTCACCAAAGTTTCATGCGAACTGCTTAAAGCATTTTTGAGTTGTCCAAAAACTGGAAAATCCCCCCTTTTTTAATGAATAAAACCCCATAACTCAGAAATGTAAAATCTAAAATTTATAAAATTCTAAAGGGAGCTTACGGATTGATAATTTATTCTTAGATGCAAGATTTTTTATCAGTTGTTAGTGGCTTTGAACTAGCTGTCAGTAACTGTGAGTACTCTTAGATCTGTACTTAGTGTCTTTTTGT